TGCGGAGCTAGATACACAAAATACGTAATAAAAGGGGCACAAACCCGAAATTATGGGGAATTCCGTCTAAACTGTTGAAAGAAGTAGTGCAAGTCCGAAGAAAGTTCGGAGAAGATCGCAAATCGATCTTAGTTTGCAACACACGCCTGGGTACAACACATGGTAACGCAAGGTGGTCAAAAAGCACGCGTAAAAGATGGTCGACCAAATTGGTTCGACATATCAAGGGTTAAAAGTTCATGAGGGATTACAAATGCATATCGAGTATATGGGGTAGACGCAGTAAATAGCAGGCTGAGACAAGGGAATGGTTTGACCGAGGGAAAGGAAGTACGCTGATTGTTGCAAGTTTGTTGTTTTAGGTAACCGTATCGAGGCCGTTAGTAGTGGGAATAGCAACTCGCAATCACCTCCATCGTTAGACAGTGAACGTTTGTCCACGGCAATTAATAGGCATTTTAAATTTTTGAACAGAATATGTTCGAAACTGTACAGTGTGTCTAGGTGCCGTAGACAAACGTCCCCTATCTGATGATAGAGGAGCTGATGATGGCGATTTGCCATTAAAGCGTGTCGAATGCTAGAATGATCCATACTGAGGACAAGAAAGGTGTTACCTTAGTGTTTAATATGGTGCACGTATCCTCATAGGAGAAAGAGTGATGCAAACAGGCCCATTGAAGACTTTACATAGAGTGTTTTTATTCAGAAGACTGAAATATGCAAGTCTTTTCAGAAGCAACACTTAAGTGGTCAAATTAAAAAGAAGGGCCGATTGCCGAATAGCTAAGCCAAACCAGTCACCCTGTTCTAAAGCAAAAGCTGCTCGGAGCAAGCATTGCGCCCTCCAGTTGGACTGAAGTTTGTGTAAACTACCTACTAGTTACTAGCTGATTAACCTCAGCTGGAAACTGCTAATTTTGGGAGCTACATTAAAGCCTTTGCTTCTTTGAATCAGGTCACTTCACTCTTGAAACCGTTTCAGTCAAATAATGATAGATGTTTCTTCACCCGTTCGCCGTACTAAGTTTCGCTGCATTCAACGCAAAAAACCTACCTTGTCACAGGTAACTGTTCACCTGACCGTCATGAAAACAAGCGGAACAAGTCATGTTATTTTTGAAGAAGCAAGTTTTCTGGCCGGATCGGTTCAGTGTGGTTTGTACCTCCGGACCCAATGGTATCAGTTTCTCAGGAAAAAAAACTAAACAAACCTGTCATGTGTGCGCAGGTGAACAATACACTGCACACGAGATAACGAACCATACCAAACGTGTCACAATCTCGTGACATTTTGGGATCACGTTGGGACATCAGCTAAGCAAGCCTCTTTCGCTCTGATATTTACCTGCAGTCCATTGCCGGCGGTAGCGTTGACGAAAATATACGCATCCCAGAACCTTTGGTTGACCATTTGGGTTATTCTCCAATCAAAGGCAACATTATGCTGAAAAATTCGCCAATTCGACGTGATAACTAACGAGTGGCCTGCTGCAGAATCACCTTAGAAGGAGTTTTCAGGCTTTGGTTCAGGGGAGTTTTGTTCTTGAAACAGTCTTGCTTTCTAGTTGGTCTTCTGAAAACTTGACAGTTATTCAATGAAAAGTGCACTTTGATCCACTTTCGCATGGTTTATGAAAAAACGGCTTATTGAATAGTACTCCGATAAAGAGGGCAATTTTGTGTACTTATTTATCATTTGGACACCTTACTTATAAAAACTAGGACCGGGATGGTTTATGAAAAACGGCTTATTGAATAGTACTCCGATAAAGAGGGCAATTTTGAGTACTTATTTATCATTTCGACACCTTACTTATAAAAACTAGGACCGGGGTTTGACGTCTTTTTTCTGACACAAAACATAGACAAAACATCCATTTTCCCATCTGCTTTGTTCACTCAACATATGTGACACGTATGTACGTAAACAGTCATTAGATGTAATAGTCGACAAACGTATTAGTTGGAACAGTTACTGACTTTAAAATGTAGTGGAAACGAGGACTTGGGCAATCCCAAATTGGTACCGACCTCGTTCACTAAACGAATGCTCCAGTTGATGGGCCATGCGGACGCTGGCTCGCGCCACATATGGGATTCTATGCTTGCCAGTCCTCTGTTGCTAACACCGAAAAAGCGCAAATGATACCTACTGTGAATGGTACTGATGATAATCAATCCATGAGTTTTGTTTCTAAGCGCATACGTTAGTCAATATCCCACAAAGCGGTATCAAGCATTCCAGCCTTATTGAGACTCGCGTGAAATTCTCCCGTCTGAACTTACTAAGCGAAGGGCCGTTTGTTTGTACATACATCCAATGAATTCCAACTGACAGCAAAAGCCTTATAAGGCTGACCGCTTCTATTCCAAGCTGACGGTTAGCTAATTGTCAGATCAAAGGAGAGAAGCGACCAGTGACCGCACAAAACGACTTGACAATACCCCAGTTGTCCGCGTAAATCAGGGGCCGGTTCCTCCAAAGTTTCCACTCAATTTTAGGTACAGTAAAACCTCTTCCGCGGTAATGTATCTGAAAGGAACTTCTACGTTTCCAGTATACATTATTCAACTTGGACCTGTTTGTGCAAGTTGTTGTTGACAGCCGTTTCTCTGACCTCATCATTCCTATTTCGTTCTCTGGCTGGATAGCAACTTAATATCGCCGTTAAACCGTCCATTACCTGCAGGGTCCTGGTAGTTCTACAACCCGCTAAAATATTTCTTCTGTGCTGAAATTGTACTCGTTCTTTCAGCAAATAGCAGTCCGAAGGCTTCTGTAGGCAAAACGTGGACTTAATGCAAAGCAGTGTGCCGCTTCTGAGACAAAAGTTGGAATTGAATAAGTGAGTTTCAAGGCAGACAGGAGATCAGTCAGGAAGATCTCTTTCGACGTGCATGCTATATCAATGTTGAATGTCAGCTAAAAGCTCATGCTGCTTAGCGTGGCTGACTTTCGACCCATCGTCCGCGGGGAAGTAACAGCAACTAAGTTGAGTTTGCTCACCTGGTATTTTGCTTCAGAATGCTTCAGTTGATGGTTCTTTTCGAGTTCTGAGCTCTAATGTACATTGAAGTTGTGGGAACTAAAGACTGCTTTAGGTTTGCTGTAGTCAACAGGATATAAAAGTCTTTCCATATAGTATGAAACACACAGTAAGATTCCTTTACGAAGGTATTCAGTAAAGTGACTTTTGTGTATGATAACCGGAACCATCTTATGACTTTGCGTACTATGAGAGACTCGGTTGAGTCTTCAGTTTCACAAACACCAACTTGCTTCTAAGCCTTCAGACTCACCTAAGTTGGCACGGCGTGCGAATTTCAAACATGCGGCCTGGCATTGTCAACCTTTTGTGAGTAATGTAAACTAATATTTGACAAAGTCCTAAGCTCTTCCATTATCATTATTTTCATTTGTAAACCTCAGTATCAGCCAAACCTGTGAGCTGTTATTCATAACGGTTACTTTATAAGGCTAATTTCCACGGGGCAGCCATGCTGAGAACCCCGTTGGGCTTAAAGACGATCCCTTAACCATTCATTGTCACAATGCTATAATTCAGTACCCATCTTTTCGTCTATTCCTAGGGCGAATATCCTTTTTACATCAACCAGGTCACACTGAATGACTTAGTCGTATCTGATTCTACAGTTATTTTTACTCGTTTCCCTCTCGTCCCTTCGCAGACACAAGACGGCATTCACAAATGACATTTTCATCTATTTTATTACCAGTCTAGCTGAAAATCAACCGTCTAACTTGGGAACGGACTACGCTGTTACAAAAAAAATAGCATTACAATCGCTTTGCCCGATTGGACACACCTGAAAGCATGGACGAATCGTACCATCGCCTTTCGGTTCCCTCAAACAAGCGTTCGCAATCCGTATAGGATATCTTAGTGTATTCGATAAGTATTCAGGAACGTCTGGGTCAAATTTCCCGCCGAGTAAATGACGACACAACTGCCGTGATGAATGTGCCTATTAGTAGGTATCTGCATTTTTACTGCATGATTCAGTTCGTATTTTGTCAAAGGTAGAAAGTGATGATAAGAGAGCAAGTGGAGCCGTGCAGTGATTCTTTGAGGCTATCAACAAAAATCACGTTGCCACCTTATTCCACACATAAAGTCCTGCAACCGAAGTTACTGTACTTGAGTTTTCCTCTGAGATGGTGTTTTAGCCACCAAAACTTTCTGATTGAACCGCTATTCTTGTAAAAACGTCACAGCGCATAGTAGTATTCGAACGAGTCAATTTCACATTCACTGAGCTATTGTGGTTTGGAATTTATCTTTCTATTGTTCACCGTGTTACCACTAATGAGGTAAAGCAAACCAATCAATATAATGCAAGTTTTCAAGTAGATTGTGGGGTTATAATACTACAAATGAATGAACCAGACTTCACTGGCATGGCAATAGTTGTAAGGAGATTTACAATAAGTGACATAACTTTCAATGAATCGTAGTGAAACGCCAACAAAAAAATTACCTGATGGAAATGCTGTGAAATATTGACCCATAGATATGAGGAAGACGAATGGTGGTGGTTGACATCAGAACCGTGCGTTAGGGTAGATCTGTGGCAGCCAGGACGACCGAGATGGAGTGAAGCACCTAAAGACCAGACTCGTGGTCTGGTTTAAGGTTCCAACAGGTTCCTGCTGCAGTGACTCTGTTTGTTTTCATCAATTCCTAAACCTTCTCCCGTGAGCAAAATTAGAACAAGAGGATTCTGTTTACTCAGTTGAGAAGGCTGCTTTGCATTATTTGAGCTGTCCAATGTAAGTACACAACAACTTGTAGATTTGCTATCAATCCCTGATCTTAGGGGATCGCTCGATTACAACAGAAGGTTTTGGCGAAGAGAACGGTTTAAACATTCTGGGAGCCAATCGATGTTTCTATTGTGTTCAGACTTGCGAAAGCTATAAGTGTAAGACGAGCTTCGTTCGAAACCGCTCTAAACTGTCGTCTGTGTGTTTTTAGACTGATCCTCCAAAATCATCCGGGCGTTACTCTTCTCGCACACAGCCGCGAACGTCCACGTCGCCTGCTACCTCGTCCACAACCTCACCCACCTCAACCTCCACTGGATTATTTCACTATTCCCGCTGGTCTCCAAGCAAGACCAGTAGTCCCGGCAGTTATGTGGGTCCATCCATTGGAACAAGCGCCTCTTGGAATGCGGTAAGTGGTTTTCCGTTCCACCATGTTTTCACGTGCTCCCTCACTATCGAAGCTAAATTGTATGCTAGGCTGAAGTAAAGGTATCATCCCAATGTGTACTGTGTACTGTACATTCAGCGCCATGTGCCACGCATAAAAGTGTCATACGTACGCAGAGAGCCTTTAGTCAGAATTTATACATAAAACATTATCCAAAAGCGTCTCTTAAGCGAGATCTTACGTGATTCAACGCGTTGATGATCGTCGTAAATCAACCTAATTTTGCGGTCGGAATGTACAGTCCGTTGCAATCAACTGCCACCGGAGCCTTACGTAATATGATTATTACAAATGAAGGTCTTTCTGAGAAACCCGGTCATTTGTCCTATTTTTGAGATAGATGTCTTCGTGGATCGTAACGCATGTTGTGGACGAGCAAAACCATTCTTCGGAAAGATTATCTTAAAGTTAAAGTGTTTCTGCTGTCACTTTTCAACAAGAAGAGGTTTTGAACTCAAACATCGCAAACAGTCACCCATGAATCCACAGCAAATTTCATTTTTTCTTTTATCAATTTATCTTAGTTTTATTTGGAGAATATGGTATGGAGAGTCTCCACCACTTACCCTTGTTACTAATTTGAGTAAAATACACTCTTCTACGAATAACTGCGATCTAAATTAACCTCGCCTGTTATCGGTTGGCACCTCACAACTAAGTGACGCTAGCGGCCAAATACGTAATACCATGGCTGTTTCTAGGTTTTCATATTGCTTTCATGCGCTCTGACAACAATTTCAAAACACGACGACAGTGAAACCTCGACACCACTGAGAAGACTGAGGGTGAATTTGGCTGTATGTCAACACAGTACCTCCACAATGAAGAATTCCAGGTGTGTTCTGTCTCATAAAAAAGTTGTTCATGCTTCCATAGGAAAACAAAAAAATTGAGATACTGAGTGGTGCCGTTTTGACGTACGTAAGCCACCAGCCTCATAAAGTGCGGACTTCCTCGCACTTTCCCACGGTGCATCAAGCTTATCTCCATAATCTCGCCACGATGCCATTTGCAGCTACTCAGTGGAACATGAGGTTATCCACAAGGTTGCTACACAATCGCTGATAAAGTTAATTTACACAACTTTACATGATGACCGCTTCAGTTGACCATAGGCATTTATGATGAACCGCGGTGAATGACCTTTACATTAGCAAACCATGAACTGTATTTTGAATACGAACTCTGACCGCGAACCACCAATGGATATTCATGATTTTAAAGCCTAATGGTAGTCGATGGGTTTCCAAATGAGGCTCTACATAGTGCAACACCACGGAATGGCTACTAAAATAAGTGGACCATACGCGTAGGAAATGTTTTTGCCTGACAACCCCCCCCCATAGCACACCCAGACATACAAAAGTGAAATTGTGCAGTCACATGTTTTGCTGTGTGTCTGTACAATCGGCACTGCACGTGTTCCCCAGCAGAAAGTTCAGCAGTCGCCCCACTTTGGGCTTACAAATGACAGCTATGATAAATGGTGGAATGCGAATCAATCGCATAGTTATCTTTGCAAGTACATACTGCTAGCCGTTGGTTCTTTTCAGTCTGATAAACCTTTTCATGGCACAGACAAAGGACACAAAAGACGTCTGATTAGCAATCCAACTGGACCATACTGCTCTGATCAGGGATACCATTTTCTCGGGAAGCGTACACCTGCAGAACTGATTCGGTACCGTAATTCCGATCGAAGATGATCATTTTGCTAACTCTGTGAGCTACCGTTGTTTAGACATGTTGAAAGGTGCCAACAATCCAGCAGGTGCCCAGATGATGAGCCTTCAGAAGGGTGAAACCGGTCGAGGAATTTTCAGCAACCTTACGAGTAGTGCATTACGAAGGATAAACACTGTTCGCAGCTTACGTTTCTGTTTCTGGCGTCACACAGTCGAGCAGCCGTGCTGAGGGCTCGTCCACAGCCCGCCTGGCCATTTGAATCAAAATGACTTACTTAATCGATGCACAGGACGATGTCTTGTAATCGACCGTAAGATTTCGGTCCACTCACACAGTTGCGTAAGGTCATGACGACTCGGTGTTGGAGCTACAGCTTGGCTTATACAGTGTTACCGATCCGTTAGGCTCAATGCCTGTCTTTAGCGTCGGAACCTAAATTGCATGATAAGTTTGGAGTCGCTAGCTGACGGACCAAAGAATGAGCTCTGAATCCATCAACAGAAGGAAGGAAATCAAAGTAGAATTTATGCTAGTCGTTTTGATACAAAAGACAGAAAAATTTATGCACTATATCGTCCGTCCATACATCAAAATTAATCTTCTGTCGAGAATAGATATTTAGAACCTGCTTGATGGGAGCCAGAAGCAGATCTTGTTGCCCAGGCTTGAACACAACGGTTCAGTGTTTTCTCCATTGTTCTGATGGGACTTCATTCCTTTCCACATCCAAGAGCTCCGTCAAAAAGAAGAACGAAAGATGAGGAGAGAGTATTTTTTCCCAAATGGTTATATCACTGCCCGAACAGAACGGCCGTCTTGGAACTGCGTCGTATCATTTATTGGTGGATTGTCTCGTCTAGTTGTTGATATATCAAACAGTATGCCACGCAATCCCGACATAGTTTAACTGCAGTGGACTTGCTCTGGATGCTACCTTGTCACCCGGTGCATGCGTAGCGCTATTGGTTAAAAAACTCCGTCGTAATGCGAGATGAGGGTAAGCAATCTCTAATGAAGAACACACATCCATGCTAAACTGTCTTCTTTGGTGAGACTTACTGGGGTTTTAATCAGTTTGAGTAAAGTGTTTTCATTCGTACTGACCGAGATTAACACCTTTTGCTAGCGTGTCTCAGTCAGTGCAGTCAGTCCATGAGANGAGTTACACTCACATTCCCACAAGCTGCTTGGAAATTTCCGACCTAAAATTTAATTGTCTTGGTGCGTGATGGGTGGGCTATGGTTCTTACGAGTCATCTTTCCCCTCTCCGTAGGGGAAGACCGCAATCGGGGGAACATTTTGGTTTCGCCCAGTAAGGATTTGTGCACCTTCGATTTGTCCTCGATCTTTATGATTGTCTCTCTCGAAATTGAGAAAGTTACTTGTTATCCACTGTTTGGATTCATGTATTTTATCTCCTTTATTACAGGATTTGAATACGGTCTCTAGTGGTGGGGGTGGTAGTAGTGCGACAGTGGATTACAAACGTCTCTACGAGGCGGAGAAATTAGCAACGGATGAACTTCGGAACGAGGTTATGGCGGCACAGAAAGAAACACGTGAGCTGCAAGAACGAATCGAAACGGCAAAACAATCACGCTCGATGAGTGGAGCACACCAGAGGGTAAGTTTATTTAAAATTCTCATTGGATGTAACATTTGGAGATGCGCCATCGAAACCATCCTTTTGTTTGGTCAAAGGAAAAGCGTGAGGAATTCAAATATCCCAAACTCGACCAGATTCCTTGCGGACAATCTGACTTGGTCAAACCAATATCACCAAAAAACGGTACCCAACCTGAACATGAATCTACTGGATTCAAATAACCTTCACCTTTGTCCAGCCATAAATACCGAGACTCTTTTGAAGTACTCAATACAGACTTCATTAATTGGGCAAAAACAAGGTATTAAGCAATACGAATAATCCTAGAGACATTCTAGTTTTCTATAGAGGATAATGTCGGTAGCTCAGGTAGCGTAGATGGTCGTTGGCTTGTTCGCTGAGCTGGGCAATTTCGTTGCAAACGTTTCATCACCAATCGAGGTGACATCATCAGTGCGTAGTTGTGCGTAGCGGTGGGTTAGTGGTTGTGCCGACCTACACCACACTACAACCACTAACCCACCGCTACGCACAACTACGCACTGATGATGTCACCTCGATTGGTGATGAAACGTTTGCAACGAAATTGCCCAGCTCAGCGAACAAGCCAACGACTTTCCAATTTATTACTCTGATAAAACTAGTCCGTTGGTGATTGGAGGTTGGGGAAAGTGGATGGCTGATGATGGTTAGTTCACCGTGAGGGCTGAGAACAGTACTCAAAGAGATATCCGAACTTTGGGGAACAAATGATTGACGTTTTTAAGGAAAAGCAACTGGTGTTTGTCCTGTTGCTCCACTTTTCCAGGCGCTTGTCCCGTCGGGTTCGTAAACAGCTCGGGAACTAGCTGTGCATACTGGGCAAACAGGAGTAAGTGGACTCATTAGTTTTTGAACCAAATGTACCGTTGAGCCAGGGAAGTTCTTTTCAGAAAAACCTATCTATTGTTCTCACTCGGAGGGACATGTGTGCGCAAAAATCGTTACTACATACAAAAAGGAACGGAGTAATACTACTCGTGAAGTCTGAATGAATGCATGTTGTCTGACGGATACGGTCAATTCATCAACTAACAGTCTCAAGGCATCACCAGTTTCATACTGCAACACAGTACGTAAAATAGATTCACAATCAGCTGAGACGTGTATTCGATTGACATGTTTTTTAACCCAGGACGAATCCAGAAGGCGTTCTCTTCGAATAGACAACTGATCGTACTTTCACAAAAGTGCACCCGCCCACCATTGTGATGGAGTAGGCAACCTCACCCGTTGTTGTTACATGGGCACACGCGTTGGTCGGCTGAAGTTGGCGGCGCTTCGGCGTATGTAGATGTCCAGTTCATGTTCTGGTACTGCCAGAACAAGCCACGTATGATGCGAATGTCTGCAGATCAAAGGTGCTTGTCGCTCCCGGTCTCACAAACCCATTATCGATGGCTCACCACAGTAGGTCACGTTGACAAGCTGACGACTCTCGCCTCTGCAGGACCAATATAAGAAGGGCACGTTTTTCGAGGACTTGGTCGGAACGAATGAGCTGTAATCAACTGCCCGTCCTCACGCTGATTTGTAGGTTTTCACAGCCTGTACCCAGTTGGGAAAGACGAAATACGGCAACGTAGCTGTCCCACGCAGTGCTTAGGCAGTCCCCCAGTAGAGATGAGAACTGCAGCGCACATTTGTAACTGGATTCTGCATCAACTCAAGAAAACACAAGTACCCAACTTCAGGCAGAAAAGTCATAAAGATTATTCCAAAACACCATGTTTTTTGAACAGTTAAAGAGTTTAGTGTTCAAAATTAGGTTCAGTGTCACAACTGTTAGGCTGTAAAGCTTCTAGTAATCAAATCCCCCGTGTAGGTCATTCCTTTCGTCTTGTCAGCATCGACGATTCAGGCCATTTGAACACAGTCGGATCTGTTGTACACAGCCAACTGTTACACTGCTCAGTCTATTGTTCCTAAAGCACTCGCGTTGTAAGTCAAGGACTGTTCTGCACAAAACTGATCATTACGTGCTCTGCAGTTTGGTTCCAATTACCACTTCTAAAACTGACATTCTTGTTCCTGATACTCCCTTATAGTAGTGCAAGATAGGTGCAAATCGAGATTTGGTAACCTCAGCTATGTTCTCATCATTAGGCTTCTGAAGGCAAATTTCTCAGCTCACTGAACATTCATTTAACCATGTGCTGCTATTCGGAATGATCTCCTAAACTGGATCAAACCGCGTAGTATTTAGTAGTTGATTTAGAAGGATAATCCTGACCCTAATAATACCCAATCGAAATCCGAGCTAAAAAAGACAGCTTTTTTGCTTTCATACCCAATCTACTGCCTGCACGTTATTTTTGGCTTGTCATATGCAGTGATAGGGACTGATGTTGTTGGACTGATTGTTGGTTTGAAAATTGGGCTAAACAAACTGATTGTGTTAACATCTACTCTTTCTTTTTGACTGTCTGGCTGAAGTATTATTCATCCAGTGGCATATTTCCGGGTCTCTTAGCACCAGAAATTGTAGAACAAAAAGTGGCCACAGAGTATAACTCATTTTACTGAATTTCAAAGTGATACATCGGTTTTACCACTAGGCATTTGTGCCAGAAACGTATGGTGCACGAACATTCGATCATAACTAACAAATATGCAAACAGTTCTGCTCATCTGGCCAGCTGGTTTTGGATAATCAAAATATAAGACGGATAAATAAGCAGTGTTTTAGTTTGCGAGAAGTTTGTGCAGTCCTACGTGTCTATAAAACAAACCGAAAGATGAAGAACTCTTGGTGAAATAAATAAGGTTTAGAAAGTACTGACGGTGTGTTGCCCTATCGATGTAGATATGTTCAGCTATGAAATTTTTCAGCATATAGCTGCCACGAAACGTTAGGGAAACGAATGGGAAATGTCTTTCACATAGTTAAAAAGCAGATTCAGACTGGAACTGTGAGCCTTGAGGTGCACCGCCCGTATCTTGACGGCTGCGCCACCTCGAATGTTGAATAGTGTTCTGGAGCATTGAAAGTGGTCCTAAGGCTGCCCCTAAGCTAAGTGCATGCCTGGTGACAAGTCAGTTCTCGGGTGGCTGATACTGTCAAGAATGACGTCCAGCTTGTGCTACCGTTCTGGTTCGGGCTCTTTGACCCCAAAGCCAACCAATTATGTAGGGACTTCGATCTCTTCCAGGAGCTTCGGGTCACTAGTACTATACAGGTAAGTGGGCATCTGCAGCTAATCTCGCTTGAGACCATCCAGCCACAGGACGCTATCATTTCTCGTCGTTGTAAGATAAAACTGGGAGTAGGACTGCCTCGAAAAGAAGCTTATCGGTTCGAACCACGAAACCCTAGTTAATAACAATGATTCTATGAACAAAATCACAATTAAAGGATATGGCAAAAGGCACTTTTCAACACCTGTCTAACACATAAGTAGTGCTTCGATGTCCCACGAAAACTGATATTGAAAATGGGCCGAGTCGACTCACATTCCACTGGTTGGTATCTGTGCACACAAAGTTCTTACCAGGTGCCTACAACTATTCTGCATAGCGTAATTGTTGTTCGCATAGCTAGTGGAGTTGGCGCGTGAGAGTCACTAATTCCGATGTGAACCTCAAAGCACGAAGATCGGTGGAAAGCGTGCGAAACACTTGAAACTTATTATATAACAGCTGGAGTGAGGACGGTATAGGGAAACCACCACGCCCTACAAAACAATTACCCCGGCAATCCAGTTGGCAACAAACATTGGATGATGAAATAGGAGGCGATCAGTACAGTTCACGATTGCTTTAATGTCAACTTTGGTTCGTTGAAAGTAATAACGGTAATCAGGAACAAAGCTAAGAATATTTCAAGTATCGTATCTTGCAATACGTTTATCAATGTAAAGAGTGAAGTTTAATGTTGAGTTCTTTGCCAAAAAGCTTCCTAGACAAACAAGGCGCTAAGTTTTCAAGGTTCACAGTCAGAGTAACTCGCTCTTATTTTTTATAAAAAAATTATATATATATATATATATATGCATATATAGGATCTATATCCCTTTTAGCTGCAGCTCAACCACGCTGCCAGCCTTAGATGAATGATTCGGTGTTCGATGCCAACTGGTAGTGGCGTATTCGAGTCTCTTTGAACACTCAGGAGATGTCCACGTTTGTGTTCCTCGATAGAGACAATGATTTTGCAGTGCTTATGAGTCTTCTGTTAACGAGTCAGTTTAACTTCCAGCATAAGTCGATCGATAAACTTCAGCTTATTGTATTCCTGTGTTTGTGAGTTATGTCAATGGTATTGTCTCTTTCTCTGTTTTGTCTTGCAGAAAATCGAGAGAAGGATCTCTGAATGTGAAGAAGAACTCAAAGTAAGTCTTAAGATGGCTACCAGATGGGTAGAGGGTTCCTGTAGAAGTGTACTAGCCTTTCCAACCAATCACAACAGAGTTCCATGAGCTTAGTAAGAATAAATTGTACGAAAGATGCAATATAAGAATTGTATGAATGGGCTTAGTTAGAATGAGAAACCTAATCTCAAGAAATAAATCCGGGAATAGGTGACAAACAGCTATAGACAGAACCTCGATAAAGCGTATCAGTGTGCATACCCTAATTCGTTAGTTAGTTTCCACTCATGGTCTTGAGAGGTCATAACTGGTTACTTTGGGACCCGAGGTTTCGGTCAGCCAGTTGCTACCATGCGAAACAATTTAGTCCATCACAGTCAGTTAAGCAGCGGTTTCGTAGCCAGGGAAAATACCCATGGAAGCCCTCTTCTTTAGAAGAAGGTTTTTTCCACACGCCACACCATATCGCTGCCCATACCACCACCACTCCCACTCTGCAACGAGTGGGCTGACTTCAATGTGCCCCCAAATATGCCACAGTCTCACTTCACTTGTGTCATATTCTACTCGAACCGATGGGACCCTCTGTGAGAGTCCGCCCACAGCTTTTCCAAATGATTTAGGTGAGCCAAGGTGCGCGAAAACCAGGGTGTGCCAGGGAATGTGATTCGAGGGGTTGTTGAAGACAAGATGATTGGAAGCAAGGCCTTCAGCAACGGCTTGATTCGCAAGTCTATGGGGAGGAAGGTTGAAAAACAGATGCACTAAACTGGTCAGTCTGTTGCTGAGACGTGCGATTAGCCAACGGACCGGTTATTGGCCTTAAAATACACTCAGGCCGTTGGTCATTTAAAGGATAGCTAGCAGTCTATGCTCAAGTACACTGGCGTAAATGAGTATCGTATGTCACTCATCGGCTCTGTAAAGCACTGGACGGAAGGGATTGAGTTAACTGGACAAAAGATAGCTGCAGTTAAAGACAGACACGTTTAGAAATGACCGTTATTATCGGCGGAGTGGTGATCAGACTGAAAATAAATTGCGGTGCCAAGGACCTCGAAGAGGGACCCGCCGAACTTGAGTTCAATTCACTTTGGGTTTCCAACCATAGATCGTTCACAGTTATATACTGGTCCATATTGCCAAAATATTTGGACGCTCAGACCTAACGATTATCGTCTCCAGATGTCCAACACGGTGTGGACAAGGGTGACTTTTATTCTGAAACTTTTGAAGCTCGCATTTCGCCCCTAAGTCTTAATAAAAGGGCGAACTAACTAAGTGAATGTACCGAAATGTTCACCAGAACAAAAACGACCACTAGATGGGACCAATCATTCTCCTGTGTTGTCGGACATTGCACTGTATAATCAGGACCATGACATCTACACATAGGGTGGTAAGTAGCCCGAAACGTGGTACATGGTACCACTGAAAAATTCAGGCCAAAATAGGAAACCATACCATACTGTAAATTTTACAGTAGTTTATTTTCTACGTGAATTCTTAATTGAAATGCAAAAGATGGAGTCGTCTGGACAAAGTGGATGTCTTTCAGAGAACCATTCATCAAGAGTTTTGTGGTGGAATTTTGTTCGCATCCGGTACAAGATATGCCACGGAATCGACCAACGAAATATTAGAGCCAGAATAAAGGACGGTAAAGCTGCTAATTCTGAAAAGAACCAGAATTTTCAGCAGAAGACATGGTCACAAAGTGTGGCTGCTGCATTTCAGTCTCTAAACTGTTATGCGAGAGACCGTGATCCAACTTTCTTGGTGGGGAATAATGGGCTCCATAAGCACCAGCTAGAAGCAGAAGACGTAAACAGACTCCCATTTCAGGGTGATGGGCTGTTCTTATCATACGATTTGCTAGGTTTCACCGACTGTTTGTGGCCGTGTTAATTCTCCCTTGTAGACAGGCTTACGAAAAGCTCATTTATACAAGCCTAGGCAAAGTCTCTACCTAATGGAAATTGGTGTTCCACCAAAGATACACTGACTAGGTTGCCCGCCCTACTCGCTAACAGGCTTCCATGACTCACCGCTCAAAACAGCCTTAGTTGGATGGATCTGTATGGATCAGCATCATTGCCAAAACCAGAGGACTACCTATTCATAAGTGTAGTTGACACAGCTCGTTACCCAGTTCTTCTACAGCTTCTTCAGCTAAGAGATCTCCATGTCATTGTCTGCAGTGTTTAGGACTTCCTCAATGACCAGGTGCTGTATTTTGTGTGCTATGCTGTCAACGGCACACAGTTGTTACTCAGCTTCGCTGGGCTTTTCGCCAGGTTTATACAGCATCATGGAGAGCACCAAGTGACGTACTAAACTTTTGCTAGCCAGGAGTGCAACCAGACTACGAAGAAAACGAGGTACGAAATGACGTTGTGATCAGTGAACTCCAATCACAGAGGCTCACAAGTAAAGTGGCGGTCAGGACACTTCATTATCACACGTTTGTTTGCTCGGCCAAAATGCAATTGGCAGTGTTGGTACTCGACAAGTCAAGCATATACTCCCGCCGACAAACTGATCCACACTCCATTGACATCACAGACTGTGGAAACCGCTTTGACCAGTTTGCCGGCGTCCAGTCGGGAATCACACGCTAAGTGGTTTTGTTTGCTGCCCCTACCCCATGCCGGACCCTCGTTTGTAGCCGCACATTCAGTCTCCAAAAAACTGTGACCTCGTTCAGCTCCACTGGGTCAGGCTCGTAATTCAGGAACCGCAGATGATTCGTAGTACGTTTCACAGTTTAGTAGAGTTGTGCACCGGCTTAGTGAGAGCTGACGGCATCCGAGAAGTCATTCTATGACTTCCTAATCATGAACGCCCAGAATGAAGTTGATAACTACGGTGCTTGGATCTCTTGGGTCTTCATAACCTTGAAAATTGAGAGCATTTTTGCTGGATCGAACGCGAGCGTTCTTTTAATTCCGTGTCGGAGGCACTGAAAATTAGAATTTCATCAAACCTCTGCTTTCAGAGTCCAGGTTTCGGCGAGTTCGTTCTTGTCAGAAACATTCACCTGTGTTGATGACACAAGAGTCACTGATAGCTTTTCAGTAGCTGACGAGTTCACCTCTGACAGATTTGTTTCGTTGGCAGATAAGTCTCCATTGTATCAATGTCCAGGTAGTCTCAAATTAGAGGTAAGAAAGCTCATTGTGAATGGAGTGGGGGCCTGTCCAAAACTAAATTCCTTTTTGTGACCAGCAGTAGAAGTGCAGTTGGTTCATTCATATAGGCCCCAGTCAAAGCACAGCGGCCCGTAAAGTTCGCGAGAATTCATCAGTACATCATTTTTTCGTCCAGTCTCACAACCACTTCGATCCAAAATTTGTGCCAATCCATCACCAATCCATCACCTGCGCGAGTCTACGTCGGTCCAAACTGCTTTTCGTCTTTCTTATGGCTGTTAACCTATTTGCCTTCGGAGGCCGATAACCCATTTCATCTGTGGGTTACGTGTGAGAAGTTTGTGGTTAGAGCGTTGTCAAACTTCATCTCTCCAACTGACTGGTCGTTTTTTAACTGTTTTTCAACCCCGTTCCACACTGACCGAGAATCAGACACCTGCTCATGGGATTGAGGAGAAAGTTGGTCTCAGACGTGAGCACAACTGGCAGCGCATTGTTGCTGAACTTGTTAACGTTGGAACTCCGGGAAAAAGGCATACCCACCATTTCCCTCTGATAAATCCAATCTGATGCGGGGCAGCTCCTGGATGCAGAAAGGTACCCCGATAAATTAAACTGACTCAACAGAGAAAGCAGATGAACCTGTCAGATTCCTCAAACTACTGAATAAAAATTGGGATCACACCTAGTCATCTAAACACAGAACGAGGTTTTTTCGGGCGCAAGATATGGAATTTTGGGAAAAATACCAGAACCATAAAAGTTGGCACGGCTTCAGTATGGTAACACAAAGCATTAGGAATTAAACTAATCCTAAGCCGACCATATTGCTTATGGGTATCTGAGTTGACTGAGCTTATAGCAATAGAACAATGGTAGCTTGAACATAAATTGCTTAGTATCAAGGGCTCCTCACCTTTGTCTCGGTAAAAATGTGGAAACTGTTTCCACATACCGCACACAGACCTGATCGTGCTGTAAAAAGCGAGGTGATGGACTGTACGACGGATACCGGAGACAGTCCAGTTGGTTGCCCCGATAAAACTTATCCGTTTGTGATTGAATACTAGAGAAATACGAATAGCAATTGTTATATCACACATACTGAAATCACTGTGTAACTTAAAAACAACAGATATTCCAGATCAGCCGGTTCATTCGGCGTAAGGGTGAGCGATTTACTGGCAGCACTATTTCAATGGCATCAGTTTTTGTCAGTAGATCAATGCAGACCAGGCCGATAAACAGCTCGACAGTTAACTTTGGGAAATCCCAATACCGCTAGTGGATCCATTGATTTGAGGGCTAGGGGTATGTTCATATCATCGAACAAAAATGTCATTATCCAGGACACGTGTACCCCGATATCGTCGTGAACGAATAGTGACACATGTAAAGTTCACGTAAATAATACAGTCCGCTAAAGGCCGTTAGTTTTTCTATTGGCAGTGTATAATGAAACACTGGGTCATCTGACCAATCATATGGTATGGAATTCTGTCTCCCAAGTCCGTGATCCATGAATATCGATCGGTTGAGGCTACCAGATCTCTCACGATACGTTGGCCCACGTAAAAATGGCATGGGATCGAAACCTCTCCTCACACGCCTATTATCGGTGCCTCACTACAATAGGCTACAGTTAGGCCACCTGACATATTGGTCGATCTATACCCTCAATTCTGCGGAACGTGGGCTGGGCTATGGAGAAACCGACCCTTAAGGTTCAGGCTTTGGCAAATCAACCAGTCGCCGCCCAAACCCGAACGCGTTTGCCAGGTCGGATGTGATGATACACTTTGTCCAGCGTGCGCTGTTGGTGTGGTGATAACACTCTCGCCTCACATTTAATTTATCCGGATTTCAAGCCCCGGAACGGCCAAGGGCATGCATTGCTGATAAGCTCTAATAATAGCGAAAATCGAGTCCAGTGTCTCTTTCTTGGGTGTGTGTGCTCCGGGGCAGGAGGAGGACGGTTCATGTGAGAGCGATCCGACTATGTGTCATTCGCTTTGGTGTCTGGAATCCACCAAACCCCAGGTATGGGGATTGTATTGTATGACGATGAAGTTGCCTCACGCAAAACACAACCCGTTCAACTGAATGCGTTTGTAGAACTAGACTTTGTACAAAGCTACGAAAGCGAATTCACCCAGCTTCAGGCTGAAAGAAGCCACAAAGGGTTAACCAGAACATCCTATAAAAAAAGCTGTAGCACCCTTCCGGTGCCTAGCTGCCATGCCACCCGAAGGAAGCACGAGGGCTGGGATACTGCCAGGTTGCCCAAGCCTAGACAGGGGAAGTCGAGTGGTGGGGGTCGGATTCGAACCACGGATCCTCCGATCAGTAAATTCGCGCTTGAGCCATCTCGCCCTCGATCACATGGAAGTGCATATATAAAGTACGTGACAGAAAGCGAGAAACCAGGGTAGCAAAAATGAACTAAATTTGCAGGGCTAGTCATACAAATGAGCGAATGCAATAGAAATGAATTATCATACCGCAAAATTTGTATAGCCCTATCAGTGACGTTACGAATAACCTAACCTCGCCTGCTACTTTCATATTAGGTAAAATTAAACTTGAGTGGTGGAAACAAGACGATGTGCTCGTTCGAACGCCTCTCAGAATTTGTTGAATCCATTATCTTTGTAGTGGAGGATGTAAACTAACATTAACCAACTCGTGAATTTACTACCCACAGTGCAACATCAACCTTCCTTTCCAATTTCCCGAGTGTAAGAAGCTGTAGCCGCGCCTTCTACTGCACATTCTTACATTTGTATTGGTGCTGAGTATATTTTGTCCGGACATCGTAAGCGGTTCGTGTACAGTTGCGTACTGGTTTTATCCACATGGCCAAAATTTCGAAATCGGGTTACGTAACGGTCACCTTAGAGTCTTTCCAGAATTAACCAGTTGCGCGGTTTGTATCTGTTCAAAATGTATTTTACGAATGCCATCTTGAACTACTCATTGTCTGCTTGCCAAGATCGGGTTCTTTACGAACACCAAATGGCCGGAAGCATTCGAAATTAATCAGTCAGTAGAAGGTTAAAAAAATTACGGGCTGACTGGGGAATAAATTAGATCATCGAGTCAGCGAATTTGTGAGGACACATATCCTCTTTCAAGCACTCTAAATCCGTATTCTTCAGGAGTTTGATAAAAATATCAACGAAAGGCTGAGACTTTGTGATCTTGCTTTTTTAGAAGCCTTTTAGTAAATTTCTCCCCATTAATTCTGAATCGCTGAAGCTAAACAGACCTATCCACTTTCTTTTGTCTTAGACACTCGAGAAGCTCCGCGCTGAGTCGGAAAAACTTCGAGCAGAACATCGAGCACTCGTACGGGTTGTTGCACGACTGAATCGTGAAAAGTGATGAACCCTGTCGGTACGTTGAGCGCCCTTCGGAAAATACGCTGTCGGGATACCGACAACCTTCAGGTTCTGCGAATAACCGGGACAAGATTTTTGTGGTCCAGTAAAAAAAAGACCGAAACAACCTTTGTTTGTACATTCAATTTACGAGAACAACCAATTACCTAATAAATTCATTCTTTTTTTTCGGTCCAAAGCTACCTCTGGATTTGCACTTAATTCAAAAATGTGTGCATCTGTCAAATAGCAGTATATGGCGAAAAATAACCCTGCGTTTTAGTCGTCTGAAGCATTTTTCGACCGCTGCGACTCCCTCAAAAGAGGCCACTTCCGACCTTTCACTTGGGAAGGGGGCAGTGTCTGATGAGGGACATATACTACTCTGCACTTTAGGAAATGTTTCTGAGGACTGTGAAGCTCGAACGGAGCGTTTTCCCGTGACAGGGCTGACTGCCTACAGTCCTAACGCATATTGTCTACCTAGGATTTATCTAAATTTGGCTATACCCGGAGCTTTTAAGATGTAATGTTTCGTTCGTTTGGAATAAATATTCTGGATTAGAGATGTGAATGATCGTGTGAATGCAATGTGATAAACCTGCGCAAGTCACGTATGTCTCAAGACGAACGGTTAGTTTCCGTTTCACCTAGCCAAAATCCAAGGATGAAAGTTTCCTCTAGTAAAAAGTGACCGAATTTGATGTGGTGGCGACTGACATAAAATTGTCGTGTTTTATTCTATCTAATGCTCTAACCTAACTACCTTTTAACGTAGACCCACCATGTGTAATCGAACGAACGGTGCCGTGCGCATACCCCAGCTCAGTTTAGCTCCTGTCTGAAGTGAGTTCATCCATGAAGATACCAACACACTGCTTGTGACGTCAGCTGTTTGTTGTGATAAACGATCGAAAATCTCGATCAGTGGCATAGGGTACTTTAATTGTGTAATTTTCTATCCATCTGGAGAACAAATGTGCCTCCTGTCCCGCTGTGGTGTAGGTTGTATCCGCGACAGTAGGATGGCAAATGAAAGTATATCTTCAAGGGAGAGGGAGTGGCGGGCTCAGGAGTAGCTCCACTACCCCGAGAATTGTCAAACCCACCTGTTGTATATGATCAACACCTTTCGGTATGAATTTACATTTTGACAAGTCTAGTTTGGAGAGGGAGTGCGGCCTCAGGAGTAGCTCCACTACCCCGAGAATTGTCAAACCCACCTGTTGTATATGATCAACACCTTTCGGTATGAATTTACATTTTGACAAGTCTAGTTTGACCCGCTTTTGCGACTGTTCCATTAATTTATATCCCGGGGGACTCGAAGAACCTCAAAAAAACGTATAGGTTGTTGTTTTGCCCGGCGAAAGCTTTATAAAGAATTTCGTTAATAAATCTACAAAAAGTGGTTCTCACCAAAAGGATAATTTCTCCTAAAAATTCTGATTGTTCTTCATCAAACAAAACCTGTTGTTAGTGTGGGGAAAGTTTGGAATTAAAATGGAGATTTTGTTCTGTAAGTAAAGCCGATCTATGCTGAAAAGCTGAGAAGCACTGTACAGCTGTTTCATCCTTGTGGAGAATCACCAGTAGTGTGCACCTCACGAAACTCCAGAGTTTTTAGCCTGCGACCTCTCGGTTAGTAGTTTCAACACAATCTTTCGGCCACGAACAGCTGGTCAGCGGTGCGATTAAATCGCTTAGACAGGATTTAGCGCAGCTCATATTTCAGTCACGCGATCCACATCACGTAATCACGCGTCGAGTAGATCCTTAAACAACGACTTCCCAAATGGAAGTTCCACTCATCGGGTGAACTTTATTCTTCCCCTGAACTGCTTATAAGTTATTGGTAGTGTGAGAAAAATTGGGAATTTTAATGAGGATTTCATCCTGTAAGTGAAGCCGATCTACGCTGAAAAGCCAAGAACCGCGTCTCGACAAAAATGGAGTCTTTCGGATCACAATACCTCCTAATAAAGGCTTTCGGAGATATAAAAGGGGAGTACTGCTCAAAAAGATATACCCCATTGACAACAGACACCAAGACAGATTAGCTGAAACTTTGTCGTCCTAATAGCTCTTTCACGTTGTAGAGAGTTACCCTATCGCGGCAAGTTAGTCCCGACAGATACAGATTAACAAAATAAACAAGGCACCTACACATGATTCAGCTCAAATGATAAACACTCTCCGAAACTTCCAGTGAGAATGACACCAATAGTCACCACATTGAACTCAATTCGAGGACATCATGGTCTTATTTGCACAGCGAGCCCTATGTTCACCTTTGCGGTGTTGTTTTTTATCGAACAGGTCTGAGAGATGTTTCAGATAAGCAGTTCAATCCACAAAATTGGCTGGAGCGCCATAAGTGCTGAACTAATATTGTCCGTCAACTCGCGTCACCAGCACACATGTGTATCGATCAAATGGTACTAAGTTATTCGGTCGAACCTACCCAATTGATATCATAGTAATTAGGAACCAAGGATGAACTTTACGATAGTTGAGTAGACATTTTGTCGGAATTGGGGCAGATGCAGCAGAAAACTCGGTCTGAGGAAATATCTTAGAGCCAACGGTTTTATGATAGGACCATAATGGTGTTCGAAAACGAAACGGTCTATTCAAGTAGCCAAAATGTCGAGATAGACATGACTGGAATAAACAATTTTTATATATTTTTATTCGCATATAATGTGCAGTCGGACTTGCGAATTAGTGAACACCTGTGGGGAGTAGAACCCACAAACTATCATTTGATCCATTTGGTCAATTTGAGTAGTTGTAGTCGCCAAAAAAAACAGCTGATGAGGCCACCACAATTGACAAAGGCTAACTGGGGAGTACAGAACTACCTGGACCTATTTTTAACGTATGTTTTCAGTTGCATCCGTAACACTTCCAAAACTAGATAGAGCTAAACGAGACTGCTTTTACAAGAAAATAATCGCCAGTATGATAACTGACAGTGACCAGTCTACAAATTGAGTTATTTTTACCGAAACTTCAGCTGAATCTATCGTTCCACGGACAAAAGTAGAGTTTTTCCAGTATATTCGTGAAATGTTCGATAAATAGTCACATTTGAATGCGAATCATCAGCTCCAAGGAGATTTTTCACCTGGATTTCAAAAGTGATGGGGGTTGATGGTATACCTTGGGAGTAAATAGTGGAAAAGTGACATAATTGACTAATTCGTCTAACTAAAACAAGTACATTCAGATGCCCAATATGGGCTATTCCTTCGGTGTAGCAACGAACGAACTCATAATGAATGCCTGCAACACGAGAAGAGCTGGCAGAACAACACTAAACTCTTACCAGCGTCAAAAATGCAGGTTATCTTGAGGAGACCTGTCCATGTTACAGAACCTCACAACTCACTCGAGAACCTGCTACAGCCTGATTAGCCCTACCTTAAACAACTATTCAGAACTTAGTTCCATTTTCGTCTGATTTACCAGAAGTGAATTACCGTCCGACTGTGCTTTCAGCCACACCGGTAGTTCAATTTTCAGAGCATAGTAAGGTTAACAATTAAGGCTGTCATCTACTTCCTCAGAATAAACTGATTACTCGGTGATTTGAGCCGATTTCCATCTTAATCCCGTAAAAGTTCCAAGGCCATTCGTTCACCAGAAATCATCCATACCAGAGAAATTTTTCGGGATGCTTATGTCCGGAAATATCTTGGACATAACAGCATGGGCTTGAAGCATTCTGGCATGGCGAAAACGACGAATCGCCTTCATGCACAGAAATTGCACAAAACGCACCGAGTGTACACAAATCTTCACTGGGGGGAGGATTTCAAACTCATACACGCATGAGGTTCTATCAGGATGGCACACAAGCCTTTCAAGTAGTAGTGCGGCTGAGTGTGACTGGAATTATTCTTATCACAATCTGTACGATGCATATTGGTATACTTGACCCCATTCATTTGGTACAGTGAACACAACTTTGGTGTACCTCTTAACGTACTATTACAGGCAAGGTGTTCATAACGAAGTCACGCGGTGTTTCTTCACTGCATCTTATTCCTCAAGAAGGGCACAGCCGATGGTTTGAAACCATGTGATAAGACTCAACCAAATCACTGGGCCGACGTGGATAAAATCCATGAATCAGAGAATGAACATTACAGAAGAGAAACTAGTAGCCGAATAAGATGGGATTTTATCTGAGAATCAAAATCTTGACGGTAGGGATAGTTGTTCACGAGACCCCTAGTACTGTATTCATAATAAGCCAGTCTATCTCCGCACTGAAACAAATTTCGGATTTCATCTAGATAACGAGTTTGTACGATGGCCACTGGCAACACCGGCTGACACAATTTATTAGACAGACGAACTCAGACCATCGGAAACAGAGCACTTGCAAGCTTCGCTTCCACAGAGACCAACGTCAGTTCTGTGGAGTTGTGAAATACGGTCACGTTAGAAAACACTGACTGGTTAGGATGCCAGCAACCTGCAAGTAGGCTGTATGGGCGGAGAAAACGAGGATACATTGGACACTAGCAGTTTATGTTCCGTCTTCACGGCACCGTCCTGGTTAATAGCTCAAGCAGCTAATATATTCTTTGTCCACGCCCAAATTTCGAACACTGAAACCTCAGGGTTAAGCCGTGGTGTTTCACAACCAGATCACCTAAAACAGCCGTGAAAACTAAGACACTGCAAGTACTTAGACCACAGATACGAGGAAACTAACCAATATTGGTGGGCTGTCGAAGAGTTTTCAGCAACCTTGTGAGTAGTTTCCTTTATGGAAATAGTGGATCTAGTCACAAACTGAAAACTTGATGCCGAATCTATCGATTTTTGCTTTCTATCAAGTTTCCTGGCTGCTGGCTTTTTTCCGAACTGCATCGTCAGACACACGTAGAACGCAAAATAGCCTACATTTCGGACCAGATCAAGTAACCAGAAGTTGTAGGGTGCGGGTCTTGCTGTCACATGTGTTTTCGGGTCGCGTCTATATGTGATTCCTCTGATGCTATAGCAACCTTCGAGTAGTTTCCTTTATGGAAATAGTGGATCTAGTCACAAACTGAAAACTTGATGCCGAATCTATCGATTTTTGCTTTCTATCAAGTTTCCTGGCTGCTGGCTTTTTTCCGAACTGCATCGTCAGACACACGTAGAACGCAAAATAGCCTACATTTCGGACCAGATCAAGTAACCAGAAGTTGTAGGGTGCGGGTCTTGCTGTCACATGTGTTTTCGGGTCGCGTCTATATGTGATTCCTCTGATGCATCCAAAAGCTAGGGTCAAACCGATTCAGTCGATGGCAACAAGCATGTGTATGCCAGGCAGGCTCGCGCTATTCAGGTATGTAACGATCATGTTCGTTCTTTAGGACAGCAGAACGTAGGCAAAGATGTGACAGTTCAACTAACTACAAATGCACTCGCCAGGGTTGCCGAAATGACTGTAGCATACTCCAAATTTTACACTCCACATGTCGTCTGAGCAGCACACCAAACTCAGGAGGTTCATTGCACCAATCGATGAGCCCATCAATAAAAACACAACGGCCCCCTACAAATAAACTCCCCCCTATGAGGGACCAAGCTGAGACAACCAGCCAATACACTCCATGAAGTTTGGCTCGTAAATGATACGTTTTCTGAAACCAGCTTCCAAAAAATTCCCTCTCGACCAAAATTGAGATGCAAAACACATTCAATATGCCTTCTGATAATTCTATACCAATTGGGGATCGGACTCAACTCCTTGAGACAACATGACTTCCGAGGTGCTTACCAGTGTGTGGGAGTGATTTTGGTTTGCATAGCACAAAACTTACACAGCTATCTCTCCGCTAGTCCCCCTTCTTATTCAGAGGAGACCATTGTTAGCTAGTTTCTCTTGAAAGTTGATCTCTTCCCACAAAAGACCATGTCTAGAAGGCATTTCGAAATGGTTCATCCTGGAAATAGCTGTAGTTAACTATTAACACCTCGGGAAGATTATTGAGAGAGGTGACCAAAACTGACCACTTGCCTGCGGATTATAGATGAAACTACCTCCCCGGAGCAGATTTCAGTGCAGTATAAAAATGAACAGTCTCTTAAAAATTATAAACTCATTGAAGAGACCAATCTCCTCCAATAGGTGTAGGGTGTAAGCCCTGAAGAGGGTCAAGTACCCCATTCCTCGTACAGGTGTCTTAGCTGGGTCTTCCGTATACTTTGGAAATAAAAGAATCGAGAACGCGAAATTGTAGCGTAGCTGTTCTTCTACTACGCTATCAACTCGAGGGACCGGCTAAAAGTGGTTTGTTTGTTTCAAATAGTATACCAGAATTGGGCTCCTTCAACGAGGCCAACTGCATAAAATATTCGTGGCTGTCAATGAGTACTGCTGGGCAGCTTTTTTTACAGGTATTGGAGAGGTATAACGTCTAGTCAAATTGCCGCCAGTTGTTACAATGACTGCAGGTCAATACCAGGCATTTGAGGAGGTATGAGATATCTTTAGGGACCTTTTCACTGGACTTCGACCGTTCCAAAAGAGATTATCCTCTAGCGGCTACCATCTTGTTCGGTCTTTTGGGGTCATCCCCTAGGTGTAGACGATCGTGTTAGATGGATCGACTTCGGCCATCAAACAACATACTGGCTTGCTTCGTAGCAACCGAAATTTGAAGGGGTGTTGGCGAAGTACAGTACCAGTAACACGAGTAATTAGCCGACTCCTGGCAAGCGAAAAAGTGACATCCTCACTGATAATCATGACAGCCTGAGTAGGCTCAAGAGCTGTGTGGCCTGGGGATTGGGTATGAAACGCTGAAGCATACCTATGATCATATGGACGGACGACGAGGAAGTTGTGGGTCCTACGTTAGTGAAAAAGTTGGAACTGTTCGACATTTGGCCGTCAGAACGTTCATACTAGATGTCAAGATCTACTTGAAACCGGCTCTCTGCTTTTCAAATCATGAATACTACAGTCAAAAACCCAACATTGATGGAACAAAGCAAAGATTCTTCAGGCACTGTAACGTAGCTACTGATGGGCTCTTTAGAGCGAATCTAGGGATTCAGAATAGTATGATCGGTCAATTCCGTTGGTCAATTCCGTGCCACAATAGTAACTAACTCATTCGTCCACACAAATGGATCATGATGGAAAGTTAAATTCTATCAGGAGCATAAGGCTTAGCATAAATAATAATCCATATCTCGTATGTGGTCGCATTCTGAAGATGAGATTTCCATGCCACTGGACGTTCCAAACATGATTTAGAGTAGTTCTTCCCTTTTTATTGATGCGCCCAATATTTCGCTAGACTTGGGCAGCTCAGATGATGATGCTTTACAGTTGGACATCGAGTTCCCACAAAACCTTGGTTAGGAAAGATATGCAGCGTTCTGAAGACAGCCCAAGGATTAGGACGTGAATGACGAGGGATTAGGGTTCGCAAACCATTACTGACTTTTCGATTGCTTCCATCAGGGATTGGACAAATTGTCGTCACTTCAGCCCTCATCGACAGAGAATGCCCCCAGATGGACGTATCCGGGATTCGCTCCAGATTGTGAGCTTTAACTAGGCTGCTATCCCTTGACTAATGATGTTCTCATTATGGCTAGGACAACAATGTGTTAAGTACAGGAGAAAAATACAGATCAATTGGAATTGTGTTCAGTTAGTAGATAGAAAAAGTGCACAGCACTAAATTCCGAAAGGTCTAATCATGGATCAGGTTATGTCAAGCAAAGGCTGACATGACCACCAGTGGTACCACGAGATTATCAATTTGTTCCGTGTAGGCTTCGACCAGGACACCCAACACGATGGGTACGAAACCGGATTTCACAGGCCACGAGTGCAAGTGGGCGACAATAAGCCAGCAAATGCACTGAAAACAGAGAAAAACAGGAAGACCGTCAAGGAAAATCGGTTAGGAGCGCGATACAAAAGACGATAGATGTATCACACATCAGTTAGCAAGTTGCTATGCAAGCAGGTGAACATGGATTTTACGATGCGCTGTGAAGCGTGCAAGTCTCTATTCAACCAGTTATTTTTGAAACGTGAGTACTAACTATCAGAGCAAGGCCTGATAGCCAATTTTGGGCACCCGTCTGGTGTCCGAACCTGGCTCGTCCAAACAATACACGGCAAATTTCTACAACGTTTTATGTATGACGATGGGAGAAGTCCGAAAAAGACGATGCACTAACCTCAGAAGGCCGATTCATGCTCATCTCCATGATCTGAAGGGCCTTTGATCTCAAGAGTCAAATGCGCCTAACTGGAACCCGGACTGCTTGTGACTACGGAACATTCCTGACGCAAACGGCGGATCCGAGGTGCACTTACTTCTCCAATCACAGACGTGTCAAAAAGGCAGCTGACGAGGCGAGTTTTTAAAATAATGATAAACCACTGAGTACTTTTGTTGTGGTGGCTCGGTCACGTGCTGCTGAGACTAGTGCTTGCTTCCCTGCAGACTGTTGGATGGACAAGGCACAATTAGGAAGAGTAGGAAATAGGCTGAGGAGAATCTGCGGACTACGGATACGATGTTTCAGGCCACGCGTTTTGCAACCTACGGTCACTGCCCGGCATTACTGGCATTGGCGTTGTCACTGCATAACTGGGTTACATAATTGAGTAGTTCTAGGTCCTTAAAAATGTTTCGGATAAGTTGCAACCAGACCTTTGTTCTCTCGTCTGTCTACTGTAGATGTCTTCAAATGATTCGCATCACCAGAGGGTAAATTTTACCCAAGCAATTGAGTGTATTCATGTTTTTTACTAGGCATCCGTTCACATCGCAAAATTTTGATGGGACGAATTTGTGCAAGGTTGTTTTAGTCGATCCTCCACAGCGGACACTTATAGCCAGGACCACAAGCTTTACAATGATTTTCCGATTTATAATGATGGGCTATGAAAGTGGTTTCGTTCCAAGTCTGCCAGTTAGCTAAATTCCGGAGAATAAACCTTAAGTAAGTGAAAACTTCTCAATGGGGGCCCCGTTTTTAGTGAAGAAAAGTTGGTGCAGTGCGAGGTATGGCGGGCGTACTTGTATGAACAGAAGTGCCCCTTGTTCAGTGAGCACCCATGGTTCAATTTGATTTTCAAGCCCTGAGCTAAGAGTACACCTACGAACTGAACACAATGCAAACATAAATCGGTCAATTGGTGTGAGTTTTGCTCCATTCTGCCATAAACGCCTTTTGAAGATATCACAATACCAGGACCAATTACTAGCAACTCCAGAATGAAACACTCTACCCACGCCATTAAACACGACACCCAAGAACGAGCACGTTTTTAGCATGTACAGTGAGTCGTGAAGTCGTACAGTGAGACGTGAAGTAATTAACTGAAGCTATTGTCGGAAGATTATGACTATGCGGTATTGCGGTACCGAAACTATCTCATGAGCCCTACAGGTCACAAGCAACAGTAAGCCAAGGTTCCTCGTCAGTATGCGGTCAGTCTTCTTCCATGGGAGACTAGTCTATTTTTTCTGGTTCGGCTATTCTTTGTAGCTAAAACAGATGTTGGTGAATACCAGGCAGACCGTCTTACTATTTCAAAGGCTCAATCCCTCCTTAAAGGACCTAGTATCTTAAAAAATACATTCCGATCACGTGGACAACTTGGGTAGCCAACTACTGACCCCGAGTGACACTGTTTCGAGCAACTCTGCTAGTACCCCTACCGGGCAGTTGGCGTCATTGTCAAACAACCAGAAGACTGCCTCTTCGCAAGATAGTTTGAACGAAACTCCCTCCATCTGGCGTCTTCTCTATCCGTACCATATCCCCAAAAAGACTAACATCTCCAGGTGTTAGTAGATTAGTGATTGCCTCCGTGTCCAGGCGCTTAGTTTCGTAGTACACGTTCCTTTTGTGAACGGTGATCTGGAATAACTCAGATGAAGAACATGCTTTACTCAGCTAATAGCGTCACGAAGCACACCAAAAGGTGGTCTTGGATGGCCATTTCCAATTGGAACGCAAATGAAAATGGGATCCAGGTTCTACGGGAAATACAACACAAACCAAATGTTTCATGGACCCGATAGCAATTTTTGATGACGTAACTTTGGTCCATAAAACAACACACTGATGGCCTCCAAACTACTCGGAATTACTAGACGAAGCATACTACCCATAAGGTCGCCAAAAACTCGACAGCCCACGACCAGTTTCGTCCTTCTTCGAGCTGCTTAGGTAGGCATAACCCTATGTTCTACTTTAATTCGAATTGGACGCAATTCGCGAACCGCACTCATTGTTTTTAAAGAGAGACCTAACCGAATCACGAATGAATGCGTCCTTTGTGCTATTCTCCAATTGAATGTGTTCCCAAAGGCCGCATTAGACGTCTCGATTGATAAGTTTGGAGTTAAACACCAAACCGGTACGATGCAATGCAACAAACAGCCACCTGAGATTAAAAGCTGTATTGTTCCACCCTGCGTATATGTTGCCGAAATGAGCCAGTGAGAGCATTAGCTACATTCCTATCAAAAAAAGCAAGCCGGTAACCGCACATGTTTCAGTGAACCGGTACGCAGAAAAGCAACCTTGGAGATGCAACGTTCAAGATGAGAGATGATCCATCGGGTCCAACGGCTTCATATTCATACCGATGGTGAACGGTCTCTGTGCATCTTGGGCGAATAGCGTGCAAATAAAGTTCCAAAGTTATCAATAAATGAACAACCAAACTGGTGACTGTTAAATGCCTAAGATGAATCTGAGACAGTTTTTTGGATGAATACGATAACGGTCAGAATCCAAATTTTATGGTCACGACAGTAAGGGACTAGTGGACCACTAGCGTCACTGGTTATGATGAGGAAACTGGCCAAGAAGTTTTTTATACTTTAATTTACCCCATCTGATCAATAATCATTGATAAAGCGTTTCAATCAGTCATAAGGAGAAAAAGGCTGATGAGTACCTGGCTCACTAGTGAAGCAAATGATCCAAAAAACGTTCGGTGCGAATAAGGCCACCTAGTTCGACCCCAAGGACGACCCACTAGGGCAGCCATACTGTCGCCAACAGATATGGAGAGCACACCGGCCCACATTGAGGGTGATACTTTCAGATTTGGACACAGGCGTCCTGGAAGAAGAAAAAGAAGTTCCAGGACACAGTATGGAATTGACATTGGTGAAGCATGGATATAACAGTTTTGAAAATGAACGTTCTATACAAAATAAGTGGAATTGGCTTGCTATCGCGAAATACTTACGATGAGCAGGGAACCATATAAACCCACCAATATTTACAGTAAGCTGAGGCTGGACGGGATCAGGCCACCAAACTGGAATCGCAAGTCCGAGCAACAGAGCTATGGGGGTGAAGACAAGCGCACCGGAATCCCTTTCGTCCCGGAATGGGTCAACAAGGTTGCTGAAACAAATCGCCACTGGCGCAGGCTGTCATACGAATAGGAAAAAGAAGAAGGCTCGAATTACTAACGAAGATACTAAATTCAATGTAACATGACTCTGTATGACATGTTCACTGTTCAAAAACCATGTGATGGGGGATGATAAGGGTGAATTGAAGGAGTAACTTATCTGGCCTGTGTATCAGCATAAAGTGTAACGCAAAAACCCGCGTCAGATAGTGAAGATTGAGATATACATCACGACTTTAATTCGAAGCCATGCTCAGAAAAGTATGCGCGGTCGGTGCCGATCGATCTTGAAGAAATTGGCAAACGGTCAGAAAATGGAGCAATGCACCAGTAGCTATGAAATACATACGCATATGAAGGAACATTTGATCCTCATGTGCTGTGGGGCCAAATGAATCAGGCTACAAAATGTCTGTACGTCCGAAAAACACCCTGTCGTTGAACGCCGAGCGCACCTCTGAAATGACCACCAACCAGTTTCTTTTTATTTTTCTTAAACAAAGAACAGATCTATCCCAATGAGATTTTACGAAAATTGCATCAGGTCTCTATCAGCGGAGTACCTAAGGAAATACACGATAAAATTAGATGACATTTGAATAGCTGACCCTAAAAATGACTGCAGTTCAAAGGAATAAAAGTTTAAAAAAAAACAAAGACGGTTGGTCCTTTAAAAATAATCCACGACACGTCTAGCCCCGATTAGTACTCACTAGATGGATGTAGTAGAACTTGTCTCCTTCCGCCTTAAATCTCGACCAACATCGGAACCTAGTCACTTGGTTTGACGAAGCTTTTTTGTCAAAAGCGAAACGTTGCCCAGCAATAAATCTACCGATTGTCGCCAAACTTTTTCGAAAACGTTATCTGTCTGATGTTCAGGTTCGACGTTCACACTCCTAACTAGAACACCCAGAGGTCACCGATCGCGCTTGTGCGCATGGTGATATGGATTGAAACGACTTTTAGCGAAATACACTCATTTGCATACCAGTGTGGTTCTGACTGGAGACGCACCTGGAACCCAACTGAATCTCTCGTCCAGAATAGTCGAANATATATATATATATATATATATTTGACGGCTCGCACTTTATGGTAACCGTTCAGTTTGTCGAGGCATCAGCTGCAATGGCACGCAGGGGAATTCTTACTCAAACCACTGTCATGCAGATGACTATCAGAGCGTGACTGAAGAGTGAAAACGTGGGTTGTAAACTAGAAAACAGCACAAAAGTTCAGGTATCCTAAGGTCCAGTAGGTTATTCTTCATGCCGCCTGCCAGATTTTGATGATACTTCATTGTGGATGGCTCCGGATATCTCCTAAGAATCTAACTGATGATCGCACTGATTATTACATGTTATGTCTACCTTGTTTTCGGTCAACACTGAGAAGCTATCAGATATTTCAATTGAATGATGTAACGTAAGCATAAAGATGGCTCTGCAATTCTTCGCGCGAGGTGACTCATCGACTACCTTACTGGGTAACACCCTATCACACTAGCGCTTACTACCAAGATATATGGCTTCCAAATCGTCAGAGACAGTGTCAACCGCACGTGGTGTACAGTCTTGCACTAACACCCTGCGGTGAAAGCTGTGCCAGTACTGGTGGTGCTTGGACTTCTGCAACAAGGTTAGAACCTTGTAATGCTTATAATGCTTATAAGGTTGCGCAAAACTTTCACGGCCCACGTCGATATCTCGAATATTGTACAAACTGAAACACGAGGTGATCTTTGTGAAGTATATTCAGCTGAAGAATAACACAAGTCAGAGATTCACAAGAGAAACTCATGGCGACAAGGCGGTATATCCATGAATCTCAAGGGACATATCAGGCCAGTGTGGGCCGTTTTGTTGTACGGCTATGAGCGAAGCCGAGACGTCTTCAGAAGTTCGACAACTGTTGTCTCAGAGCGATTGCTCGTGTAAGCTGCGGTCCACGAATCCGTAACGATGCAACCGAAAAGCTTGTATTCCTCTGCGCATCAAGGACTTCGATTGAAGGATGTGTCCAGCACGGGAAGCTACATTGATTAGGCCATGTATTGCGCATATAGAACCATCGTTTTCCAGGGAGAGTACTGCTTTCCGTGCCCAATTTAGAGTAGCACAAGGAGAGAGGTGGCCAACCTATGATCTGGCAGAGGTCTGTAAGAGACAACGAAAAGTCTGGTTGCTGTCGGTGCGATTAGATTTCCAGGATGGGGTCCGCGTGAGCCCCATTGCCTGCTTGGAGACGCTGTAAGATATGGCTTCTAATCGATGTCAACAGCGTTCTTGTTGTCGGATTGTATCAAGATTGTCTGAATGAGCGTCTGGAGGTGTAGACACCTAGAAATGAATGTGGTAAGCTAGCACTAAGTCTCTCCTCCACCCATTTTAATTCTTTTCTTCACACGGAGGCTTCCAAATAGATTACAGTTCTACGGCAGCGAAGCATCAGTATTGAACACTGATGTTGTGCGTTCGATAATGACTATGTTGATTAACACAGGTTTGATTTGCAAAATGGGTATATTTCGCCAGTCAGCATCCGGTTAACTGGTTTGGGTGTGCCAGTATGATGTGCAGTGAACGATTGACAGCACTTAGTCTGGACTAGCGTCGTTATCGGAATGAACTTTTCATAAAAACGGATGATCTGTACCTAGCCCAATACGTTCAATAGGTAATCCAAAAAGATCATCATCGTCATTTGAAACATAGACAGCAGTTTCCAGTCAGCTGAACATTCAAAACTCAGCATCATCGATTGAAAAACAAGTTTTCTTACCACAGGTCACCCGCCAGTCAGTAAATAAACATCCCGACACTGGCGCTCACAGAGAGGTGCTAACTAGGTTGGGACAACAAGATTTGTGTGCGTAACAGACATTGATTCACAAAATAGGTGCACACCGAAATTCATCTCACAACCCCCTTTGGGTGTTTTCACGTGCTAAACCTCGTTACTATGCTCTGGACCAATGGTGGAACCACTATGGCAGATCTTGGTTCCTTTGGTGACAAACTTTATTTATGTCTTCTTCTGCTAGGTTCAGTCGATTACCTGAGACAAACATGTTTTTCAGTCATCTAAGTTATTCAGGCTTGCATTCAGTCACTCGGCCACCGGGTCTGGTTGGGCTCATACAACTCCATACAGTTATAAGCAGTCTAGAAACTCAGAGACGGTGGTCACACAAAACACATGCACCAGGAGCTCGATACTGCCGAGACAAAACTGGGTGGTTGCGTAATGGGAAATTAGAGCATATATTCTAGGTTGAAAATAGGAATGCTTGCAACAGAGGCGTTTACTGAACTACCTCATCCTCAGATTGAGAAATACTAGCTAAAAACTCGTTATTTCCGAAAATACGCGAAGGTAGCAAGGTTTGGCATAAGTCATTTGTGTTGCGGTGTTATCCAGTTCGATGTGTCACTTTTTGATTAGTTTCGTACGCTTAAACGACTGAACTTGGAAAGACTTCCGTATATTCCGCTACAATCATCACTTTTGTATCGTCCCGTCGATTAGAAAGAATGACTGAAAACTATAGTATATGTGATTCACGTCAGATACGGTTTATTGTAATAATTGTGCTTGTGACTGGGATATCAACACATCCGTTCCATTCGACAAGAACCTCAAACATACCCAAAGCAGGACTAAAAAGCAAATATCCTCACCTAATCAGAGTCTTCAAGCCAAGCAAATATTGCGATTCGGATGCCATTTACTTGGGAATTTTTAAGGTGGACGGGAACACTTCGTGTGGATGAGTCAGAATATTTTCACTGGTATTGGCATTCCTCCACCAAAACACGAATTACTTCATCTTCGTGTTGTGTTGCTCACTTTCCTGTAGAAGCAAGTCTGCTAAACGTTTCGCAATCGCTAAAGCCTCCACAGTCAACTTGGGGGAAGGTGAGGTTGCGAACCCCGATTCGAAACCACTATTCTAGGCCCAAAATATATCTTCTTGTGTCCGGAGGTCCGGTGTTTTTAATTATCGAACATCACACCGATTGGACGGATGTGTCACATGTGGACTATGGACTAGATGAATACATCCAAAGATTGGTCAGAATGTCAGCCAATGTGGATCGAGCATTTATAGCTCGACGCTTCTCATCCCCTCACGAAGATTCTAGCGCGATCTTGTATAATATTCTGTTATAATCCTATAAACACAGCTGTAATAGTCCCCGTTTGCTTCCATGAAGGGCTGTCTAAAGCTACCGTGCCTTTTGATGTTCCATACTGGGCAAAGCAGGAAGCCAAGAGTCGATACAGAAATTGCACTACCGTCAGCAAGCCACAACATCTTGGTTGACGACTAAGGTAAAGTAAATCCTAGAACCCCATCTGCTCAGCTTGCAGACCCACTACGAATACTCGACTGCTGCTCCCGAAATATGTCAAAATGACAAGCGGAAAAGATTAACATAGTTAATAACTTGGAACCCCGAGTGGTCCAGTGACTAAGGCACAAGCCTCCTAGCGAATATCAACCGTTCGAGTTCACAGCTGGCATTGTTATTGTCCACGACCAGTCGTAGGTAATTAAGTACCGCCTCAACCTTAGTATCTCTCTGGAGTTGCATTGCTTCCGTACTCCGAGAAGGCGTCAGACCAGAATGACCTGGGCGGTCTAGACAGCTGTCCACTGGAAAAATTTGCCCAGAAACTCGCCAGCTACCACTTCAGTCAAACAACCGAGAGTGATGATGAAAAAGTAGTGATGCAACGAGAACCTGCCGCCCAGAGCGCTTACAGAACAAGCTATCGCTACATAATGGTGGTCCAAATCTAGGAAGTGTCTGATGGTTTTAAACTCACAACTGGAACATGATTAGGGATTAGAGACATAGGTTGAAACCGTAAGATAAAGAATGGAACCATCAGCTCGCTAGTACAGACTCACTCCTCGACGTCTGATCCATTCAAACAAGCCAAATGCAATGAGCAAACAGGCAGCACAGGAGCTAAGCAACCGTGGTGCAAATTGTAGACCCAAGGCAAACACGAGTCCAGCGTTGAAATGAAACACCTTTCGTAACCAGAACGGGGTAGTTGGCGTATGACTGGAACGATTTTTCATGCGTAGATATGTACAGTGATCAGGCGTTGGTTTTGAGTTTATACAGTTGCTTTGTTTGGTAGAGAAAAAGAACGAGGATGGATTAATTTCGGTGGGACAAAGACTGGCTGATGGAGATGTACAATGCTCTGAGGGGTCTAGAGGAACACCTAACCTGCCACAGCGATGATAGAATAAAGTAATCGCGACAGATAGAACAAGTAAGAATGCCCACGACGATAAAAGCGCAACATGGGGTGGGGTGAAGAAACACCAAAGTTGCTTGACCCGAAAGACGTAGAAAAATGGGAATCCAGGTAATATCAACCATGTGACGGTGAACGATAGAACTGCCACAAAACAAAGTAAGCCTATACCATAAAGAGGAGTACAAGGAATGGAGTAGTATTCAACTAGAAACGAACAAATAAATACTATCAAAAATAGGGGGTAGGAGTGAAGAAATACAATCAACAAGTGAGTCAACAGGATCGCTTCTCCTATGGTGAATGATTTTGGAAAGAGGCGCAAAAGATTGCGCGTGCAACAGATTACGAAACCTAATACAAAAATCTGGCGAAACGGAACGGTTGAGTTGAATGAAAATGTTAGGAAAGAGACACCCACACCACAGGTGAAAACCAAAGCTGAGCCGGTTTTCACACACAGTGAGAACAGCACGGTCATCGTGACGAGAATGTCTGCCGCTAGAGCTTGGTGGCCCGTCCGGAGTAGACCAATCGGGACCAGCAGTGCAAGCCATAGGCCGGAATTCGTACCATCCCGAGCATCGGAGATGCGCAAGTGCATAATGATCATTCAGTCAGGGGATGAAGCAGAGGAGTTGAATGCCATTTGCGTCCCGTGGACAGTATATCAGAAAGCGTCTGAAAGGAAAACAGAAACGGTCAAGGGGCATTCCAGTTGGCCAAGTAGACCCCTTCAATGGGTCAAATCGTAGTGTAATAGCATGGTGCCCGTCACATCGAACTACACTGATGGATGGATG